CCTCTTTTTCCTCTCTGTGAACCAGCACAGTAAATAATGCCTTTAGACACAGAGCACACAATGGTACAGCTGGCACACTGCCAATGTGCCAGAATTCAAGTAACCTTGGTTGTCCCATAGCACCTGCATTATAATGTGAAGAAGAACACTTCTCTTTGTACGCAACCTCCAACATTGAAGGGCACGAAATACACAGCAGAGACTCTGCCCTCCTCTTCTGCATCCCTAGCGCAGAGGCAACTCTCAGCAAATGTTTGCCAAGATAGGTCACTTGGATCTTCCCTGTCACAGGGCACTGCACCCCGGATGCACAATAAACATGCGTGCGCAGTCATTCCTCCTCTCCAGCAAGGTGCCACCTAGAAAAGCTGATAATGCCACCTCAGCACCATGCACCATGGTATACTGGGGGCTCGGCAGCGCTGCTCACTGTCAATCACCCCCTTTTCAAGCCCACATACCCCAAGCCAGTTTCTTGAAACCAAGACGCAAGATTTTAACTGAAAAGATGGCATGTTCTAGGAAGATAAACCACAGCTTTGTGACCTTGAATAATAAGTCAGTGGTTCTGCAGCTTCATTTCCCCTTAGTACTATGGGCAAAAATCCCTCCCTCAATCGTGGAGTCGAGCTAGGACTGTTTAAGTTTAAATAGCTCAATGAAATGCTGCATGAGAAGACATGGTCATTTTATAGGATGGTAGAAATGGAAGCACCCTTCCTGACTATGCGCTCCCAAAATCTGTTACCCAAGTAACGGGATTAAAACCACCCAGACAGTGTCTGCAAGGAAACAGAGGGTTCCATCGCTGATTTAGGACCAAGGTGTGGAGTTCAGAGTCAGGTAACTCAGGATGGCTTGGGTTTCGTAGCCATTCTCCTGCCTCAGCCATCAGAGTGATAGCATGCCAGGCCTGGCCTAGTATCTGTATGTGCTGGTATTGAAGCGGGGTCAGGAGTGTTTGACTGGGCATCAGGGACAAACCCAAAGAAGCTCCCGCCTCCGCCCCCCCCCCGATCACGTGAGCGGGCTCTGTCAATCAGCCGTCACGCGGGACCAGGCCTCCGGCCCGCCACGTGCTCGCTCACGCTGCTTCTCACGCGGCCACGAACCTGTCACAGAACAGGCAGGGCGTGTGCTGCCGGCCGTGCGCGGGCTCAGCGTCCTCGTCCTCCCAGCCGGCGTCGTCTCCGCTGTCCGACAGCTCCAGGGGCTCGGGGCCCAGCTCGGCGCCTTGGCCTGCGGGGGCACACTGTCAGCACCCGGACGCGCGAACGCCCACTCTTGCCCTTGCCACTGCCCGCCGCCCACACGAGGGACCCACCGTTCCCCGCCGCCAGCGAACACATGGCCGCCGACCAAGCGCGCGGCCGCACAGCGCGGCGCCGGAGCTGGGAACGAGCGCGAGCGCGCGGTAGACCCGAGGCAACCTACACTCCGGCCGTTCCCGGGCCGCAGAGCGCTTCCGGGTCACGTGGGCCTAGTGGGCGGGGCGAGAGGCCCAGCACCGCTCCCCACGCCCTCTGCAGCGTGCACGCCTGCGCCACGGAGGCAGACGCGTGCTTGGCAGGGCTGGGCACGACCTGCCGCAGCGCCCTCTGGCGGCGGAGGTGCCCAGTGCAGGCTAGGCTTGGAGGCTCGGGGAGGTAAGGGAGCCCCATTAATCTGTGGGCTGACAGGGGGTGTGCATTGAACCCTACCCTTTATTGAGAGTGGTAAAGTGAGAACACGGGCTTTACAAACACCCTGAGTTTGAATCTTACTTCACTAGCTAGACTTCTAAAATCACGAGCAGGTAACTTGCCTTCTCTCCACCTCAGATTTCCTGACTGGTAAACAGGATCATGACTGCAAAAGCCCAGGGGCTATGGTAAGAACTCCGTGAGTTCATGTGTGTGAAAAGTTCAGGCATTATCTCGATCCCTATCATGGGAACAGGTGGACTGTTTGCTATGTGCCCACAAATGATGCGGTCTGTCCTGGGGATTGGGGTGCCGAGAACACTAGGGTTCCCACTCTGAGGCTGCTGCTTTTCTAATATTTCTAGTGTCTAACCTTAGAATTCCCTCAGGCAGGTAGGCAGCAGTAATTCTGGACAGGTAGTGCCTCCAAGCTGCAGTGTGAGGCTGGACTATGCATGGGGCATGTTTGACGACCTGCGCAATGCCTGACATTGGCTCAGCTAAACTCCCCATCATGCACACCCTCAAGCCTGTGTACTGCTGATCGCTGAAGCTCTTTGCTGGAGTTGCTCATTTTCCCCTTCACCAGCAGGACTTCGCTCATATCACCATTTTTTTTAATATTTTTATTTTTTTAAGTGTTGGGGTTGTTTGTTTTTAAGATTTATTATGTATACAGTATTTCTGCCTGCATGTGTGCCTACAGGCCAAAAGAGGACACCAGGGCTCATTATGGTGTCTCAGATGGTTATGAGATACCATGTGTTTGCAGGGAATTGAACTCAGGACCTTTGGAAGAACAGTCAGTGCTTTTAACCTTTTGAACACACAGTGTATTTTGATCAGGTTCCTCCCATTCCATCCCTTAACTCCTCTCAGGTCCATGTACCCCAATGTCCCTACCCCTCACCTTTGTATACTTAAAAGAAAAAAATGACATGGATTCCAGTTTCTGGATCCACATACTCTGGTTGTGGGGACATCCACTGGAGTGTGGTCAGCCTACCAGAGGCCACATCCTTAAAGAAAACTCTGACCCTCTCCCAGAAGCATCAACTGTTCATAGCTCCTCAGTTAGGAGTGGGTGCTTATGAATACCCAGCCCCTCCATGTTAGAATGTTGACTTGGCTTGGCTGTGTCCGGACCACAACCACTGAGTCTGAGTGTAGACTCATGTAGTGCATGTCCAGAAGAAAGTCTCCCTCCAGTCCTCCCTGACCTCTTCCTACCCACTTCCAAGTCACACCACCATTTCTAAAAGCAGGTTGTTATTCCAGGCACAGCCTATATCTCTCTCACTGCTACCATCGAATATCTCCTCCATCTCCTCTCCCTCCCCTTCCTCTACTCTCTTCCTTTCTCACATACCAGTCTTGCCCGCAGAAGAGGACAGAACCCTTCTGAAGCTACCTGATATTCTAGACATCTGCAGAAACCTGCTGACCCCCTTGACTAATAGAGTGCTCACTAATTTACCTGATAAGCACCTGCTGAACAAATTAATGTACAGCCTTTCTCTACCCTGGCCCATCCAACCTTCCTTGTGTAAACTGCCCTCTCCAGTGCATTTTAGTCTGTTGAAGGAACCTGCTGAATCATAGTGATGCCCAGATGTTGACAGTGACAGTGATGCCAGTCTGGAGAATGCACAGGCCAGAACCTTCTGTGAGGCTGACATCTTACCATGGTGCAGGGAGTGGGATACTTTTCTCTCCCAAACATGAAGACAGACCCTCCTAACATCACTCAACTCTGTCACTGAGATCCGAGTGTGGACTCACTCTCTCCTGAATGTTTGATGTACAAAAATGGTAGAGTGATTTAAAACCAGCCACTGAGTCTGGCTCCCTTCAGAGCCCACAAGGCTCAGCATATTCTTATGGTGACCCCCAAAGGCTGCTTTACTTCTCAGAGCCCAAGACTATTACAATGGAAACACACCCAAGCTCCCCCAAGCCCAGCTGTGAGGGAACCCCACTGACAGGAAGAAAACTTCTGCTTTTGAAACAGGGTACTACTATTGTTATTATTTATTAAAAAGCAATGAGGCTGGTATCAACCGATATTCTCTGCAAGAAGTTTATTAGGAGGGTAAGGAGGGAGTGTGAAGCAGGACATGGTGGGAAGAGAGAAAGAAAAGGGAAGGGGAGGGGGCACCGAGAGAGAGAGAAAGTAAGAGAGAGAAGAAGAAAAAGTAAGAGCAAGTAAGAGAGAGTGTAAGAAAGAAAGAGTGTAAGAGAGAAACCACGTGTCGGGGTTAGCCCTTTAAGGGGCAAGGTAACCATGCCTTCCAGGTGTGGCCACCTACCTGTTTAACCTGTATCACCTCAGGCTGGGAACATAGCTTGTTTGAAGACTGCTTAACTAGCATGCATGAAGCCTTAAGTTCACTACAAAAACCAGGCATGGTTGGGCATATCTGTTATCCCAACACTTGAGAGGTAGAGGCAGAAGAATCAGAAGTTCAAGGTCATCCTGGACTACTTATTGAATTTGAGGCCAGCCTGGGCTACCCAAGACCGTGTGACAAAAAAAAAAAAAAAAGAAAGAAAGAAAAAGAAAGAAAGAAAGAAAAGAAAAGAAAGAAAAAGAAGTACACCATACCGCATCTTTCAGTGTAGTATCAGGAAATTTTAGATTAACCACTGTTTGCAGTTAATTGCAAGGATCCTGCACCAATGGAGACACCCAAGAATTAAAGTTTTATGCATCCACAATGCACTAAAATACCTGGAAAATTCTAGCAATAGATAGAGATGATGTTCTTTTGCAGAGTGGGTAAAAAAAACCAGCTACAGAGGGCTGGGTAGATAGCTCAGTGGTTAAGAACATTTGCTCTCTTCCAAAAGACCTAATTTCAAGTCCTAGCACACACATAGGTAGATCTGTAACTCTAGGTTCAGGGGATCTGATGCCCTCTCTGGACACACACACACACACACACACACACACACACACACACACACACCTACTACTACAAGCAATGGAATCAGGCTGAGTGGCGTTAATCTTGACTGCCATTTCTTAGCTTTAGGTTTTCAGCTCCCTTGAGCAAGGCACTTAACAGTGTGCCTCAGATTCCCCATCTGCAGTATGAGGATAAAAATAGAAATTTAAATGAAAAGAAAGATATGAAGACAGCAGTATGGCTTTATAGGATTTCTGGAAAATTACTAGAGTGCCAAGAACATACAATCTAAAATTATGCAGACACCTGAAGTATTAGGTTGGGGCTGTGATGCCATTCCTTGGGGGCCTTCACTGCACCTTTCCACTAATATCAGCACAATTTTCAACAATTGAAAGAGTACCCAGGGTTTGCCCATTTACTTTTATTCCTCAGTGAATTACAGAATTTGTCCTATAGTTTCTGCATTGACATGCTGTCAAGGCAGAATGTTCACTCAGCTACATGCAGCTCAGCAGCACCATGACTCACCTGTAGTGTTAGGGCCCCTCTGCACAGGCATCTCTGTGGGAGTGCTTGAAAGCTGGTCTCATACCTAGAGGCACCGGGACCTCCAGTAGACACAGAAAAACCACAGATCCCTGTCTGCAACCCACAAGGTCCAGGTTTACAATTTAAACCGTCCTCCCAAAGCTCCATGCCTGACCTACATTAACAACCAGGCTCTCAACAGCTGGTGCAAAAATCTGCCATTTCCTGAGCTGCATGGCTGAGGAGAGGAACACCACAAGAGACCACACAGACACTTTTTATAGACTGATTTGGTGACAGGCACTGAGGTTTTCAAGAACGTCCTCTGGCATGGTCACAGCTTGGGCACATCACTGTCCTTCCCTAGCTGGAAGATGGCCTTATTTTCCAGGAGTTCCGTTTGTCCACTGCTGGGACTCACCAGGTTGTTCAGCATCGCCCTAACCACAGTCACCACAGGCACGGAGTACCCACTGGCCCAAGAGTCTGGCAGGGAGCTGAAGAATTTCCTAACCAGCCATTCTGCTGGACGAGATTCTTGCCTGTCACACAGCAGAACTCTAGGAGACAGAGAAAGGTAGAAGAATATAAAGCAATGCATTCAGACCTAATAGGATACTTCAGATTGAGTCCTGTTCCCAAAACCTGTCAGCTAAGGTCCTCACCCCCAAGGGAACTGTATTTGGAGATGGTCCTTATGGAGGTATTTAGAGTTGAGAGGTATTGAGGATGGGACAGGACTGCTGTCCTTACAAGAAGAAAGGACAACAGATATCTTTCTGCATACGCACAAGCAAGATCATGTGAGATTACATCAAGAAGGTGGCATTGCCAACCAGGAGGAGGGGCATCTCAGCAGACACTGACCCCAGGGACACTTTCATCTCAGCTGTCCAACCTCCAGTCATCAAGAAAATCAGTTGGCTCAGGTGGTGGTTGTAAAATTTGGTTTGGCGCATAAAGGAGGTTTTAAAAAGCAAAAGAGGGGCTGGAGATGGCTCATTGGTTTAGAACATTTGATGCTCTTGCAAAAGACCTAGGTTCAGTTCTCACAGACATCCATGCAGACAAACACTGATACACATAAAAATATAAAGACAAAAGAGTGTAAGTGAATAAAACTTAATATGTAAGAAAAATGCATGTAGCAAGTACTTCCAGGAAGTTGTAGATGATTCTGAAGCAGCCCCAAGCTAATCTCTTTTCAAGGTTAAAGGGTGGATCCTTGAGAGAAGCAATCCACTACTGGCCAACCCTATTCTCAGATGCCTGAATTGTAGGCCTCTCTACTTATTCCCAGCAGCATAAAACTTACCCCGGCCGAAACACTGAGAAGCGATCAAACTTTAATTCTTCAACCTTAGCTTCCACTTCTCCCTGTTTAAATTCAGAAAAATTAAAAATAGAAATAAAATCAGTGTTTGACGGAGACCAATGCACTCAAATAAAGCCTGAGAGACAGTCACTCAGGCTTGAAGATAATCTGCTTTCCCAGCTCTCAAGTCTTACAGTTCAACCTGAGTCTAGAGTCTGGACAGGAAGGAAGAGTCCATTTAACCCTGTCACAATGAGAGTGGTCAAGGTACAGAGAACAAGTGCTAGTGCTCAACCACAAATGGGACATCAACATCATCCTCAAACCCCCAGCGCAGGAGAAGAAAGACTGTAAGAGCCCGAGGTTAGGGTGGACCTGAGCAAAACGCTGTCCTCTGGACACGACAGGCCTGCTGCACTCAGAAACTCAGCAGCTGCAGTTGCCCACACAAGATCAAGCCAGCCAACTCTCTGGCATGGAGGTGGGTGGGGCTTACAAATTCCCTCTGTGAACTTAGGAGCTGTGGACAGCTTCTAGGAAAGAGACAGTGAGTATTCTTTAAGGGGGTGGCCCCTGGTAGGTTGGCCATGCTCCAGGGACACTCAGCTCAGTTATTAATGTCAAAACAAACCCAGAGAGGGTACATAAAGCATCAGTTGAACCTTTTCACTCCCTTCTCAGGGCTCCCAGACACGGTCACCTTTTTAGTATACAGGAACTTGTAATGGGTCAGAAAAACATGGCCGTCAGGAAAGGAGCCTCCCCCCAGTCAATCACTTTTGAGCATCAGCAACTCCCATCCAGATCTCAAAAAAAAAAAGTGAAATTATAAATAGAAGATACTTTAAATTATTAAGCCATGCATTTTCACATCAGGCATGTAATCAGGCCAGGGGAGCTGTAATGTGAAATTTATTTTTTTTCAAGGTCCACTCAGTAAAGACACCAAGGAAATGAAGGGAGTAGACAAAAGAACCAATAAAATATGGAACCAATAATTCAGGATGTCCTGTCTGGGGAAAAAAATGTAGTGAAGGCAATGAGGATCCCTGAGGGATATCTACAACTACAGTCCAGAACTGATGACTGGCATTCATAGAGCTTCCACTAGACAGCCAGAGGAGGACTCTTAACCCCGTGACCCGATGACAGCCCCCTCTGCTTGAGGTATTAAGCAAAAGGCAGTGCTTCTCTCACACTGAGAAGTCTGTGGCATGGTAATCTCTACGCACTGTTCATATACTGAAGGCAGAGGACCATGTCCAGCCGCACACAGCAAAAAACCAGGTCTGCCCTCCTGCCCCGGCAGTAACCCTACTTCAACCCAGGAAATAGAAGCTAGTTAAAATCAGCAGCAATCATGTACTGTACTGGCAAGAAGCTTAAATATTCTGTCCTCCTGGCCACAAAGAAAGTTGAGGGGAAGTCTTCGTAGCTGGGAGGCCATGCAGCCAAGGCTAGGTTCCCTCTACTCTTCCCACCTTACTGAATAATTCTTGGAGAAACCATGCCAGCCTTCTATGTTTCTCCCAAAGCAGTCCCTGCAGCTTTGAAAAATACGTAATATAATTTGTTTAATGTTTTCTTTAAAGATTATACTGGTTACTTAGTATTGTCAATTACCCTCCATATATGAAAGACAGAACACTCACAAACCTTTACTTGTAAATATAAGAAACTGCTGGATTTATCAGCCCCCTTGGAAGACAGCAGGTTGAAATGTTTGCACCCTCCTGCTTTTGCCAGCTCTGCAGACTTTAGCACATAATCTCGGTCAACACGGACAAATCCTTCCTGGGGGCAAAAGAACATAAGTTATTTCCTAATGTTACATGTTCATATTAAAGATGAATCTCCGGGAGTGGGTGGCAGGCTGGAAGGCCTAGGGGAATTGAGAATCTAAATAAAATGTATCGAAGCCATACTCAAAAGCTAGGCTTAGATCCTGGGAAAGGCTCCAAAGGCAGCAAAGATGAACTCCACTATATCACAAGGATGGCAATGAAGCCCAGACAGCAAACAAACCCTCAACGAGCTGAGGAAACAGCAAAGTCGCAATGGAAAGTTTGCTCTTGGTCACGTGTTCCTCCTCTTTCCTGATTATCTATCTATCTATCTATCTATCTATCTATCTATCTATCTATCTAT